ACACCAGGAGAACACAGAGGAACGTTCACAACAAAGCATTGCCCCTGCCAGTCAAGTGCTGCACACACCTGCTCATAAACTCTTTTTATTTTGTCATTTCACGCCACCTCAAGGAGCATCGGCACAAGAAAGAGTCACCTACCATCCTCAGCAACCCTTTTCCCTCCCTCGTCAGTGCTGCTTGCATCACGTCAGTGGTGCACCATCCGCCAATGATGCCCAAAAATGGTCATGTCGCATCCATAGAATACCAATGCTCGTACACTTTGTTTTGTCGACTTCCAGCAGACCAGGTCGGACTACAAAACTTACTTCCACATTAGGATTGGACCACATACGAAAGCCAAACAAACGCGGATTGCGTGCACACTGTGGCGTTTTTCGCAAAAACCGTTGCGAAGCCCGTCTATATACCTCTGTCATCTCTTCATGGGCTGAAATGGCAAAAGAGTAGTGGGAACGGCAGCTATGATTGAATCGGTGAGGCAGCTCACATGTGAGGTATCTCCTCATGAGTGTGCCCTCGTCTGACGAATCTTTGTCCCTCTTTTTCTTTACCCTTCCCCTCGTACCCTTTTCTTTTTCGCTTTGCAGAAATCAGCTTGCCCAGCACCGCTACTCCATGGTGTTTCTTACCCCGTGTCCACCAAACGGAGACAAAAAGAAAAAAGAAGCCAACAATGGCATGTGCGATGGGTTAATATGAGGCGACGTGTTTTATGGCTTCGTAGAGTTTCGCCTCGCTTGGCAAGTACGGCAGCTCATGAAACGGGTGGGGCGTGTCAAGGCCACAGACACGCATTGGAGGCGCCTCCAGTGAGAGGAAGCAGTCTGCTGCAATGCTCGCAACTAACTCCGCGCCTAACCCGCTGGTTTGGGGAGCCTCGTGAGTCACTATAACTCGTCCGGTTTTGCGAACAGATGCTGCAACCATCTCACGGTCCCACGGCTTCAACGAGCGCAGGTCAATGAGCTCAACGGAGATACCATTGTCACCCGCGCGTTCAGCTGCCTTGGAGGCCACACTGACCTGCGTGCCGTACGTTACGATCGTCACGTCAGTCCCCTCCTGTAGGAGTCGGCCCTTTCCAAGTGGAATTGTGTAGTACTCAGGATCCACTACCTCCACTGCGGATCGGTAAAGCTTTTTAGGCTCAAAGAAGAGGCAGGGGTCCTCTTCCTCTATGCATTGCAGCAAAAGTCCCTTTGCCTCAGACGGTGTTGACGGCATTGCAATTTTGATACCGGGGCAGTGGTTAAAAAAACCCTCTACGCTCTGGGAATGGTAAATACCTCCATGTCCAACTGCCGAACACGGTGCACGTATGACGAGGCCACCGCAGTTAAAATATCCACCAGAACGAAATCGCATCTTCGCTGCTTCATTGACGATTTGGTCAAAGGCTGGAAAGATGTAATCCGCAAACTGCACCTCTGCAATTGGTTTCCATCCGACAGCCGCCATTCCAATGGCGAAGCCCACGATTCCCTGTTCACTTAGTGGTGTGTTGAACACGCGCTTGGGTCCGTGCTTTTTTACCAAGTTGAGAGAGCACCTAAAGACACCCCCAAATTCGACGTCTTCCCCAAGAAGCACTGTCTTGTCGTTCTTAGCTAGCGCAAGGTCCAAGGCAGAGTTAATAGCCTGAAAGAGACTCATCTCCACACCATTTTTAATGTCTACCTGCTCAGACGTCTGTGACGAAGGAAGAACAGATGTGTGCATCTCCCTGGCGGTTGTAGAGAAATACTGAAGAAATGCCAAAGGGGGCACGACGTGCGTAGCCCTAAGGCATCGCATCGTATTGATTGGTCACAGTATGCGATGATGAGCGCGGATGAACTCTAATGATGGATGTGACGAAAAGGAGGTGGGAGAGCAGCTTGATTACCCTCTCCTTAAGATTATTAAGAATGAGGTATCACAGGGCATACACCCAAGACGACGCAAAGAGAGCACCGCCATCGAACAATAGTAATTTGGAAGGAAAAAAAAAAAAACGATACACTACCAAGAGGAAAAATTCACATTCTGCAAGATGTAATGGGCACGGGGCATGTGTACAACGTGATAAAGGTCCGTCGTGCACGAGGGATGGATGCCTCCCGCTCCAAGTCGCGATGGTGACGCGTCTCGCAGCGAAACAGCTCCGTCTCCAACGGAACTCTCGAGCCCTGTGTCACCAGAGACCGACACACCATTCCGTATCACGGATGATGGTGACGACGATGATGGCTGCAGGTTCGGCATCTCTTTAGCCAGTTCCTCCTTAATTTCTACAACAATCGGCGACCCAGAATTCTCTTGGCGACCCGCTGAAGTTTCTGTCCCATAAGCAATTTGCTGTAGTGACATCATTGGCGCGGCGGTAGGAGATGTTTCCACCCGCATCTCTTGTGTCCTTTGCGTTACGGCGCATTCAACGACCGAATCGCACAACGTTGACTCCACGTCCAGTGCACTATTCCTCGTCTCCACCACCCTTTTTCTGCCAAGGATCCTACGCGCGTACGTCTCTTCGTCAAAAGAGAACACGTTCGGAGGCGAGGTCACCTTGTCACCCTGTAGTTTGTGTTGCTTCATAGCAATGCCCCCGGGTGGCATAGATGCAAACAGTTGAGGGTCATCCGGCAATGGCGCCACTCGGGCACGCAAGTCACTCGCCCTTGCTGCCAATGTCTCGACCTGCACAAAGAGCGCGTCGCCAGATAACCAGGCTGCAACATCATTAATATACTCACGGGGAAAAAGATTTTCCTCCACACAAGGTTTGCTATCCTTGACCCGCTCAGCTGATGCAGCAGCTTTGCCAATGGCCTCACACCTCTTATTACTTCTCCTAGGGCGTCTTGCTGGAAGTTCCGTCGCGACAAAACGCTGTGCCTTGTATGGATATACTGAAGAGCGGCCCGTCACGCATGGGGCACGCTTCGGCGGTGTGTTCTCAAAAAGTCGTTTGTTTGTCTGCATTGTGCCTACGTACGACTCTCACCCCGCACCTTTTTTTTTATTTTTTTTTTTCGTTTGTGCGTTGTCTAGGTTTACAGAACGACAGAAGCAAAATGCGTACAAGCCACCAGAGGCCTTTTCCAATAGATCGGCATTGATAAGCCCCAATGACGAAAAAAAAAGAAAAATAAGCAAAACAATAGCACTGAACTTTACATCAACAAGAGAACGTTTCGTGCCGTTGGCGCCTGCGTGCTCCGAGGCTTTTCATCGAAAGCCTCGTCGGACTCCCTCGTTCTGGTTTACCGTGAGTCGGTTGATTACACAGAGCTCCTGCTGTTGCCAGTGGCTCTCTTCCATGGCGGAGGTGTCCTTGGCGAGAAGCAGCATTTCATTCCTTCGCCTTCTATCTTCCTCCTTTAGAGCGATCTGCTCAGCACGTCTCCCCTTCCGCCTCTGCTTCAGTGAATCGCGCACCTGTACCGCACGTTTTGTCTCAGCCTCTTCTCTCAACGCCTCAAGTTTGGCGTGTTCTTCCTGCTTGTTGCGCCGCTCTTCCTCCTTTGCGCGGCGTGTATTGTGACGCCCATCCGAGCAAAGGCCGGAGAGAGCCTCTAACTTCTCACGTTCCTGCATGCGCAGAGCACGAATCCGTGCACGTCGCTCCTCCTCCAACCTAGCATTCTCCTCCTTCACCTGGCACAGTTTTTCCCGCAGCATGGCAAGACTTAGCCCACCGTATGTAGTGTCCTCTGGAGTCACATTTTGTAGACAAATGTTCTTCTCTATCAACTCCTCTTTTTGTTGGCGGTTCCGCTCTCGAAGCTGACGAATCTCTTGAATTATCAAAAGCCGCCGCATCTTCAGTCTCTCTTCTTCTTCGAGGGCTTCATCCTTGAGTTGTTCACTCTTTTTCTTCACGCCAGCTGCCACAGACGCGCGTTCTCGTTCTGCATGTTTCAGAGCCTTTTTCCGGCTCTCTTCCAACTCCCTGCGTAGTCTAGAAGCGTGGGTACGCTGCTTCATGATCCTAGACTCTTCCTCCGCCCCACAAAGCTCTATCTTTGAGGCAATGTCGGCCCTTATCTCTTCAGTTGCCACCTTCTTCATTTCTTCAATGGCTTTTCGCTTTTGAACGGCGTTCTCGCCAGCAAGCTGAATTTGTGCCTTGCGACTCAAGAACTGAGCTGCGCGCTGCTGTGCCTCCATTTCCCTTCCTTGCTTCTGCCACTCCTCAAATTCGCGTGAGTTGCGTAGCGCAGCCTCCACATCCTCGAGCGATCGTTTTTGCTCCTCCATGTGCTTCAAATATGTCTGTGCCTCTCTTCGAAGAGCACCAGCTGTCATTCGTACAGGCACAGTCTTGTACAAGATCGGTCGGAGTTCGTCCGGTGAGACTCGAGGAAACTCACTCTGGCAGACTGGTTGTTCCTCCACCTTCGGGGCCTTCTTCGGAGTCCGCGTCATGAAACTGAACCCGATTGGTTCCGTAAGATCATTTTGTCGCTTAACTACCACACAGGGTGGTTTTGTGCAGTCTATACGTGGAGGCCGTTTTTCAGGAATTGTATGCAGCATCTCCCGCACCTCGGCAGGAGGGAGACCACCTTGTTTTCCTTTAGAGATTTCCACCGCACGCAGCGGTCCCTCCACCTTCTTCTTTGGAATACGCTTGGATACCCTTGGCTGTTGTTGTTCGGGATTCTCTGTCTCGTTTATGTTCACAACCCCAGCAGCCGTCTTTCCCAAGAGCCAGTGGATGACGTCCTGTCGGACGTGAAGGGCGACCTCCCCCATTGGCCGGCAGATACTGTTCATAATGAACTCCCCGTCGTAGTACTGGCTCCAGTATGGGTTTGAGTACTGCATGAGGCTCTCCGGATTGAGAATATACTCAAGATACTCCACGAGGCGCGGCGTCGATGTACACCTATAGAGAAACTCTCGTATACGGTGCCCACCCAGAGCTGTGTACTGGAAAACCATTAGGTACGCCACGAGGTACATCGAGACTTTGTCAGACTTATTGCGTCGCAAGCAGTCACAGTAGCCATTAAGCATTCCCTCACAAACCTTTTCGAAGTGGAGGGTACCCGAGACTGTCTCACGCAGAAGCGCGGCACTCTCCTCATCAATTGAGGTGCAGTTCTCTAAAACATCATCCACCATCTGGTCAGAGGACTCGAAAACCGTGTCCTGCAAACACCGAGAAACGATGTCAACCATGAGCGCCCACAAATCACGCGGCTTCATGAACATTGTCGGCCTGCTGTGAATAGCTGACTTGAAACAAAAGTAGATGAGAAGAATTGATAATACAAACGCACAATCAAGAGAAAGAACCAAGAAAAAAAAAAAAAAAAGAAATGGTAGCCCAAGTAGCGCCGGCGCTCCGTTCCTCCAAACGCGAGAGCACGTCAGATAGAAGTCACAACCTATTAGAAAAAACATGCTACTATTTCTCATCCCTTAGTAACTTTCACCCTCATTGCGCGTGTTTCTTTTCATGCTCCTTCATGCCGTTGATGTTGTTGTTGAGGTAGAGGCCTTCGCTGTCAAGATAGAAAGCACCAGCACCGTGATCCTTAATTAGTTTGGCAATAGTCCGAGATGCCTCCAAGCCTCGCAGCGTAATAAAGGCGGGGTTTTTCTGCACAGCGTCACCGATAAGCTTCGCTGCTTCCGCCTCACCCTCTGCCAAAAGAACTGCACCCTTCCTCTCTTGCTCTGCTTGCTCCACACGCCATTTGGCGCGCTCCGCCATTTGCTGCGCCACTTGTTTTGCCTCCACAGCGCTGGTGTACTCCTTTCCGAAGCTCATTTGGGTGATGGACACATCAGTAATGCCAATGTTAAATCGCTTTGCACGCTCAGCTAGCATAACGGCAATACGGTGGCTCACTTCGGGACGCTTCACGAGAAGATCCGAAGCGTTGAACTGTGCTATAACGGCGCGAATTATCTCGTTGATGAGCGATGGGAGCACCGTCTCAGCGTACTCCATGCCCAGATTACGGTAGACATGTGACAAATCGTTGACGCTCGGCTGATAGAGAACACGCACCGCCAGGTTAACAGTCTGTAAATCTCGACTTCCAGTCGCCGTCATCACCTCGGTAGGCTTGTTTCGGATGTCGAATACCACGGGTATCTCGAGGAATGGAATGGCAAAGTTGGCTCCTTCACCATAAGTCTTGTCCTTCATGCCTGTTATGACGTTGAACTTCACCGCACGGCAGCCTCCATCAACGAAGTAGATGGATTTGTACAGACCCACGGTAACAAACCCGCCAAGTCCCACGAGCGCCGCGAGGCCGGTGATGTCGCCGAAATTTCCCAGCCGCCTCCTCACTTCCGCTGCGATGCGAGAAAAGTCAGGACCAGGTGGAACCTTTGCCATGGTTATGTGTATATGTGTTGGTGCTGATGTGCTTTTCCTTCTCTCCCTCTTCGGTTAGACGATACTACCTACCGAGAAAGAACGAGAAGAGGAATGACGGCGGTGGGGAGAAGAGCACAACGAACAGGCTACCACTGGCACACACGCGCACACTTATGCATACAAAAAGGTCCCCCAAGGCGGTTAAGCCGAGAGAAATAAGAAACGAACAAAAAAAGTGCCGAAAACGTCACCACTGTTTTGTTTGCACAGACCCCGCTTGGCCCATGCCGATTCGGTCATCATTGCTAGAGGTGCGAAGTCCCTTGAGAATGCGGTAAGCGGCTGCCGTCTCCACGGACGGGCGCCTCGCCCCCACCCCGGAGTGCGGCCTCTCATCCGCCTGCAGAACGGCAAAGCCCAGGTCAATGCCCAAATCCACTGTGCGATGGCGGCCACCGAGCATCACGGCAGCTATAACAAGCTTACTAAAGGTCCCTAGAGAGCCAACGAATGAGACTGGTGACCCTAGTAGTGACAGAGATAGCCCACAGCCTGCGAACGCGCTAATTACTTCAAAAAGTGAACGTGTCATAGCATCAAATCGGGTGCCCTCCGACTCATGAATAAGCCCATCTTGCTCCGCAAAAAGAATGCTCAACATCGCCGTAAACAACCAAAATAATCGAGATGTTAAGAGTCGTACAACAGAAGTGCGGAACATCTGCTTCCATTTCCGATATGTGCGATCTGTGGAAATGGGAAGAGCGGGTAAAAACATACAGAGTATCGTCATGGCGATGTGGGCATTGCTGTATTCTAAGCAAGAGACAAATGAGGCCGCGGCAAACCGCACAACAGCAGCCTGGGAGACGGAGAGAAAAATTTTGTACGGCGTAGAGAACGGGGCAAGTAGGCCTTCTCCGCTCCATTGCTGAAACCAGAATGGGGCTGCCTGCGCCAGCGTGATGGCAAGCCACGCCACGCCAAGGTAGAGAGTCTCGCTGCGAACGAACAGAAACGCGTGAAATGAAGCTGGCTGCTTACTCGCCAAAACGTCGCGGAATCCTCGCTCCCATGCGTTGACGCCCACAACCTCACCCTTCATATCACTCTCGCGAAAGAGATATCCCACCTGATGAACTGGTGCATTTAAGAGGAGTGGAGAGTCTTCACTTATGAACATAAAAACAGAGTTCCGACGATCCGTTGCTCGGGATTTTTGAAACCGTACGTATACACACACGAGCAGACGAAACACAAACCACTCGGCGTGTAAAAATATACGCAGCACCACCGGAAAGAGGGTGAATCCCAACGCGCACCCTATAGTTACGACCAGAACAACAACCGCGTCGGCGGCGTATGGTTCCATGGAAAGAAAGATGGAGCTGTGAAAGGAAGCAATCGTCATTTCAAAAACCTCCAAACCTCTGAGGTTAGACCTGTTGAACACACGCAATATAGCCATTAGAGTACCGTTGACGAAAGTAAGATACATGAACGGTGTGACGGCGCAGATCACCGATGTGTACCAAAGTCTCTCGGCGTACAGGCGTTTAGAAGCCCGTAGTGCCCTCTCGCCAAGCGTATCACTCGGATGCCTGTCAAACATCCCCCATATCTTTTTCAGCATCCACACACGCAGCAGTGGTTGATGGGCGCTTGTGAATACAATGCCTCCTCCTATCATCAAGAAGTGTCGCAGCAGATTTGAGCTCACCTTCCACCCAGAAACATCGACTGTTTGTAGTCCACAGCAGCACACAGAGGACATGGCAATAAAGAATGCATCTACAAAGGCAATCCCGCTCTCAAGCACATAGAACAGTAACGAACCAAAAAGCACCAGCGACATTATATACAGCACATGCATCAGCAAATACCACTTTTTGAGAAAATTGATCCGCCGCGCCAAGGACTCCTGTGCGCACGAGAGAGGCAGCGCAACGGGGCCCTCAGATTCGAATAACTGCGAGCTCCGAGTAGCGGCACCGCCAACATCTTCAGCACCAACACAACTTTCGTCCTCGCCGTACCAATCATTGCCCTCAAGTCCACTCTGTGAAGCACCAAACTCATCCTCCACTGGCACTTCACGCACCGCAGACACACCGCCGTTTCTGGCTGGGGTCACCACAATGTCTTTTTCTGCCTGGTTTTGTACTGAGAAACGCACAAATTTCTCTGGACTACTCATGCAAGGGTGCTTTACCCACCCAGAGAAGTCAAATAAGAGATGGGAAACGAAAAAAAAGAGACAAGACAAGAATAATGACAATAAAGAGGAATTAAAAATACAACAGCACCTCTTACAGCACCATTCGATGAACAGAGGCGTCCCGCAGTCTTTTTTTTTTTTTCGTATATACCTGCAAATTCACCAACGAGGAAAAACAAAGCTTTACATGGGCCTGTGATAGGTACTGTAATATCATTCAGTCATGATCTAGAAGACCACCGTACATGGTGCAAAGTGAGGGGACGTGGTAGTGATCTCCATGCACCGCCCTCTTGAGTTGGGTTCCGCGTGCTGCCCTAAGCGCCTCTGCTTTTGTAAACGCGCGCGACTCCAGGAGCGGCAGCTCCAAAGCACGCCGTTGGTGTTTGTGCGTCACCGCCATCCCCATCGCCTTGTGTTGTAGATTGGCTTCGACTGCCTGCATCTCCACGACTGCGCGCTGGCTATTTAATTGCTGCGCGACAAGCACCTTCCGGTACGACGAGGCACTTCGCCTTCCAAGCTCTTTTTGTTTCTCCCGCAGCTTTCGCTCCATCACCTGTATCTGACGCTCCTGTGCGGCTTCCCGCTCGTATTTCTCCACGTCGTCGCCTACTGCCTGGGCGTGAGCCGCCTCAGCGTAGCGGCCCACACTCGCCAGCCGCTTCTCTGTCGTACGCAACATCGGGACGAGGGGCGACAACGTCACCGGCCGCCTCGCTTCATCGCACGTGACCTGTAGTAAGTATGCTTCCATCTCCTCGTCATGCGCTTCGCATGCAGCGCTGTACTTGCGGTGAAGAGCCTCCTTAGCTTGTAGCTCCCCCAACGTTATCGCCACACGTGCATCTTCCAGGCGGCAGTTCTTCGCCTCCTGAAACGCCTTCCACTGAATTTCATGTTGCTTCAGAAGCTCCTGCCGCCTTGCTATCTTGCTTTCTGCGATGTGGCGTTGCCTCGCCTCCTCAGCCTCCCGTGCAAGCCCATAGCAGCCTTTGGAGGCCAGTAGCGTGATGTCGCGACGACAGTTAACACCTCCAGGCATTCCCCCTCTGTACAGCTATCACAAATGTGCACATCAATAAGATACAGACATGAGAAGAGAACAAAAAGGATTCATGTGTAAAGAAGAGGGCAATAGTATTTTCAAGTCTAAACTTTTTTTTTGTGGGGGGAAGGGAGAGAGGGAGGTTTCCAGTGAGACACAAGATCCCTTCTTACCCTGTTGACGCTCTGCTGAAGCTGGCAAAGCATAATAACGGCACCGTCTACCGCTGCAGTCGCGGCTCCTAAGAGAAAACTCTGCTACCGACGCATCCACACACACCCACAAATTTTCCTTCCCTTCCTCCCTTCAACTACGCATTTCCTACACTAACTACATACTAGTACTCCACCTCCTGACCGGCGAAGAAGCCCCACTTTTCCTCCCACTCGTCACACACCATCATGACGTACGGACCGAAATAGGCGACATTGTCAATGGGGTGCACCCACCGGCTCTTTGGCTCATAAATGTACTTGTCACGCAGCACGCGGGCACGCATCACACGACGATCCCCGTGCACGACCTTGTCTTGAGGGGCACGGGTCCGAGCAGCGCGATTCCACCAGCCGTGAGCGTTGATGAGATCATCTTGGAGGCAGCCGTACTTGTGGTACTGCAGGCCTTCATAGAAGCACATAATTTTGCTGGCGTACCACTTCCCGTATCCACTAAGGTTTCGGGGGTCCGTATGGATCACCTTTTCCCATGGGTACTCCATCTTGTACGGGTGGGCGTGGTCTGTCACTGGAAGCGCCAACAGAGCGCGGTAATCAATCTTGTTCGCCTTGATTGCGCTTTGAATACGGAGGGCACGTTCCACCTTGTGGGCGTTCTGGACGGAGAGGAACTCTCGGTACATGTTGGGGTAAAAGAAGTGGCCGATGTAGTATCGGAAACCCGCCCATATGCCCTGGGCCATGTAGCGCGGTGCCGTAGGCTTCATCATCCTTTCTGTTGGGGCTCTTTTTTTATATCCAAAACAGGAAATTGTAGAATTCAAAGGTGCATCTCTCCCCTCAAATATGCAACTCAGCAAACAGGTAAAATATCAAATCCACAAAGAATATAGAGGGTAAAGTGGAATGAGGTAAGACTCCTCACACCGCCCATGTTTGCAAGGGACACCACTCAGTACCTCTACTTCTCACTTTCTCATCCCTAAAGATTATCTTTGAGGTACTTGTTGACCTTGTTCAGTGCCTTGCGCGCCGTTTCGCCGCCGGACTCCGCAATGAACGGAGCAACATCCAGACTGATGTTGGCTGGATTCGTCTCGAGTATGATGCCCTCGTCAACTAGTTCGTCCACTGTTAGCACCAAGGCATCATACTTCTCCAGCAACGTGCGGAGATTGAGATCCAACATTTTCAATTCTTGCCGCAGGGCGTCTACGAGACCCCTGAGAACGCTGTGTAAGACTAGCTCGTTCTCACTGGCATCTCCGATCACCATAAGTGTAACGTCTTCACACACTTGCAGCAGTACTGCGTGGCCTTCGTGAATCATAATATCACCATCCATGGATGTGCTACAACTGCGTTTGGGGTCATGGGCCGCGGCATGGACGCCCATTTCCAACGCACGCTGCTTCTCAATAGTGTTTAACACTCCACGTTCCTCCATGTTGGGTGTGATGTAATACTTGGCAAAAACCCGGCCGCCAACGTCATTGAGAATGATAATACCCTCAACGTGATGCATAAAATCCATGACCAAAGCTCTTTCTTTTTTTTTTTTGTTGGGAGCAGACCTTGTCAAAAGCATCCCCGAAACACCAGCAGCGGACGAAAGAACAGTTGTAGATAACTCTTACAAATTTACAAGGAACACTGCATTCACCCCCATTTCTTTAAGATCTCTCTCGCGCAGTCTTTTCCTCCTCAATCCGATACACACAGAAATTATTCAATACTTTGCTCTTCTGCCGAGCCAAACAGGATTGGAAGTGGAGGAGAGGAGGGGAGAGTGGCAAAACAACGAGAGAGGAAATAGTCTTCCTAAGTGTCCTCAACACGCCGCTTCGGGCATATGAGCAGCCAAGCGACGGAGAGGCAGGCGATAACGAGCAGAGGATATTGCAGGTACATCACGACGTATTTTATTCCCTGTAGATTCGCCACGTATACCGTGAACATTGCGCCGACATTCGTATTGGTAGCGTACTCAGAAAAACTCACGGTGCAGAACTGCACAACAGCCATGGAAGTAATCATGATTAGCATTGCATTGAAGAGAAACGCATTCATAAGCGTGTTATTCAGTTCCATTGGGTACACTTGGAACAGCACCAAATTGCCACCAATTTTGATGCAACCCTTCACGACGCACCAAAGCAAGTAGAACGAGAAGCAGCCGTACGCTAGTACACCAAAGAGCATGAATGTCTTGTCTAGGCCACGGAACATATTGTTCAGTAGCGGGTGGGCATGCGCCATGTTGTGGATTATCATCTGCAGCGCCCACATGAGCGACATGGATGCAAACACAATGCCCAGGAAGAGGTAAAGGTAGCTCTTCACCACCATACCGCCTCCTTCACGGTAAGAGGTTTCAATCTTGTCATGGTACGCCTCCAACTCCCGCACCTGTAGCTTGAACGTGAGTACCTTCTCACGGTGCCGTCTGCCAGAGTGGCCCGTCTTCTCATCTTCTTCGATCTTTCTTCCATCATCCATGAGGCGCTGCGACTCTTGCGCAACCTCCGCCCGTCGAAGGGCGTACTCTGCGGCAGTGATCGGCTTCGGGCGGTGTCTGAACAGCATAACAAAGTCAATAGGCATTGCAGCCAGACCAACGCCACCAAAGAGAAAAAACAATAGCCACCCAATCGTGCAAGTGAGAGCGACAAAGTACACAAAGAGCGACACCTTGAATCGCAGTGTGGCACTATGCGAAGTATCGCCAAATTCCTTAATTTCCGTGAAGCTAGGGGATGGTGGGCCCAGCGTCGAATAGGCCGCGTACGATATACTGGCATACCCTGCTGTTGTCCAGCAGATGAAGAAGAGCGCCAGGAATACGACCACGATGATGACGGTCACAATAGCCGCCGGCCTCACCTGCTGCCAGATGCTCGTTTGATCTGGGTCCATAGATTCGTAGTACGCCATCGCAAAGGGGCACATGATAAAACACAAAACAAACATCATAACAAGGATGACTATCCACATGACAGTGACGTTAATTTCCCCACCTGGGTTGTAAAGGCCTTCCCGCACGTTTGCTACATCGTACGGTAGCACAAGAACATTGTAGCATGCCATTGAGAAGGAAAGCACGACAACGACTTTCGGAAACCATGCTTCGTTCTTGTCCTCCTCCGCCTGGAACAGAACAACCAAGTACAACACTAATGGAATCGTCAACACGGCAACGACGACCGCCAATAATATAAGCCACCAGCCCATGTCCCCCACACGCGGCACCAACGAGCCTAGTTATGTGAAACCCTTCAACGCTAATGCAAGACATCAAGAAGGGGTAGGGAGGAAATTCATCATCATGAATTACTCTTGATCGAAAGCAGGAGGGCGACTCAACCACAAAAACAACAAAATTACCCTACGCGTAGTCAGTTAATCAGGGCGCAACCACACTCAGCTCGCAAAGTACATCCTACTGGAGACGTCCCGCACGATCCACTCCATCCCATCTAGCAGTCCGCCACCAGTCTTGGCACTACACGCGCACAGCTGGACGTGCCGTTTGCCCCTTCTAATGGATTCAACGTCTAGATGGCGCTCGATCTCTGTAGGGGAAAGTGCTGTGGGTAAGTCCTGTTTGTTTAAAAAAACCAAGAGGTTGGCACCGGCCAGTCGCTCCTCTTGAAGCAGCGTGTGAAGCTCCCGCCTGCAGTCTTCAAGACGCGCAACATCATTGCTGTCCACTACCCAGATCAAGCCATCAGTGCTCTCAAAGTAGTTTCGCCAGTAACTTCGCAGTGACTGCTGGCCTCCAACATCCCAAATGTTTAAAATACAGCCGTGGAGAGAGAAAGCGGTGATCTGGAAACCCAGTGTGGGGCTAATGGAACTTGTATCCTTCCCGCAGAATTTTTTGACGCACGTCGTCTTTCCCGCATTGTCTAGCCCGAGCATTAGAATGCGCATTTCGCGCTCTTTTCGCTTTGTCTTGCGAATAACGGACAACAATCCCATTGTATCCCGTCTACCCTACAGCAAAACCCCGAGGTGAGAGAAGGAGGAAGAGGGGGGACGATGAAGAAAACTGCAAAGTCAGGAAGGCACAATTCACAGGTGTGGGAGAGCTTTATAAGAAACATATCAGTAAAAACATGTCGAGCACGTGCAGCCTTCCTACTACAACAACAACAACAACATTCTGCGACAGGCAGAGCCCCTACCCAACTGATACTAATCCTAATTCCCTACTATTCATATTGATTTTACCACCACGCGGCCCGGCGAATGCGCTCATCGTACCACTCCACGTTCTTGTGGAGCGTGTGCATGAAGACAAATATAGGAAGCAACGCGAGCACGTAGAATTGGAGCATGTTGTACACCCACGTCCCCCACCGGGTTCCGAGAGAGAAGTACGTGCGCACCACCATAAAATCCGTATGCCGCTGCTCCACGCCAGCGAGGTCCCAATTCTTGTTGAATTCACGCTTATGGTACTTTGACTCCACTGACTCGTACTCGAGGCGCCGCTTTTGCTCAGTGCGGCCCCAGCCGTACAGCATCGGGCCGGGCCGGGCAGGACCTTTATTGTGGAGCTGCTTGCACACAAGCGAGCGGCGCAGCATCTTGATTATATCCTACTGCAATCCTTTCAGTAATAAGAACAAAGGTAGCAACCGTCCAATGGAAAAAAAAGAGAAACCACATAATGATAAGTTTTTTTTTTCCTTTTACCGACCCTCCCCCCGGCAGGAAGAACGGCGCGAGAAGACACCGAGACAATGAAATTGTGAAACAGAAACCTCAACAGCTCACAAGAACCGACGAATAGGCATGTGGTGGTGGTGGTGGTGGTCACGACCACCGCGGCCGGGAAGGGACCCACCAAAGGACCAAAATAACGCGAACGTGAACCCGAACGGTACAGACGACTTGAAGGTCGTCCGCAAAACGCCATTCAGAAAGAATGGTACACCTTCCGTTCTCACCATGTTCTTCAAGACGCCAGCAGCCTCTTTGAAAACAGCAACTTCCCCTGCCATAAAGGCTGAGAAACTGTGTACGCCGCCAGCGCGTTCCGTGTTGTACAAAGCTGATCGAAAAGTATTCCGTATTGGATTTGTGGCAAATGTTAGGAAAGCGTGCACGCGAAACGCGTCCCACCATGCCTCAAAGAAGTTATGATGCCTTGAACGCTGCAAAGCGACTAAGGCTGCGCCATGCCACACCGATGAAATAAGAGCTGTTGCCAAAACTCCAGACAAAAACGATAAAACACCGTACTGTTTGGTGCTCTGACGAATACAGTGAAGCAATGACTTGTACGCCACCTCGTCGTAGCGACTGCGCGGGCCACCCATGCGACGAGCAATAGTACGGACGCTCACTTTTGCAACTCCATGTAATGCTCCGGCACACAATGCCCCCGGCACCAAGCCTGACCCAAGAACAAACCCCCCATAAAGAAGCCCCCACGGCAGTGCAAGCAGTAGCGGTTGGGACGGATTTTGCAACATGCCTTTGTAGCGCACCAATGTATACTGGATAGGATCCACACGAGGAATGGAATGGATGCTAAATATCTTGGTGTAATCCCTATACGGGTACAACACAAATGTGGAGACGAGGCTCGCTGCATAACCCAGGACACCTGCGGTAAGACTGCTCATCGTGCCTACTATTTTACCTTCCCCCGCTGTGAGGTTTACCCTGCAAATGTTGCAGCTCGGTATGGTTTAAACGACGACACAAATGGAAAGCAGGATAGAAAAGGATATATGCACAGAGAAAGCGCCTCACAGTGCGATCACTACACAATAAATGAAGCATGGTAATACCGATTTACTTCATTTCTTTTTCACTTGTCTCTTCTTCTGGAGGTCCTTCTTCCTCGCACGTTGCTGGGTTTTCTATTCTATAAAGAATCTATATATATATATGCACATTCTGCAGATTAAGAAAATATGCACGTGGATTCAGCATCTTTGGACAAAGGCTTATGCAGCGCCAACCGTCCAGGAACAGTTAATTGGTCTGCATTGTGCATCTCCCACTGTTCTACCTCTACAAACACAAAAGGATTATCAGAAGAGGCACCTTTCTTCTTTCGTAGCTGAAGACCGTTAAGAAGGACCTGATCCTGGGACAACCAAACTCCTCGATTGGGCAACTGTTGCACAAAAGGATTCTTAGTGATAAACCCAGACAACGCATTCATTCCCAACGGTACGTCCTTTTCAAAAATGCGTCCATTGGGTCTACACGCCCGCCGCAACAGGGGGTGGAGGAGTTCCTCGTCAAATGGACCCACATCTTCCAAACTCACCACAGCTGCCGTTAAACTCAAACAGATGGCCTCGCTACCGTCTTTTAGGTGAAGAAAGTCACCAAGTGCCGGGTGGTCACTTCGAATCCAAAACGGTGATTTGAACTCAAGTTCCGCTGCAGCTGCTTGGAGATTATCCACAACTTCTTCACGGGAAAAAAACGAGCCTGTGAGTCCGCAACGCGGAAAGTAGCTTCCCCCGCGGAGTTCCGAGGCACTTTTCACCGCGGAGCCGTGGTAGAAAACACGCTGCACTAAACTCTCCGCCGCCTCCGTTGGATCAATAAAATGCTTTGGAAGCGGAAGCGCGTACGCCGGGGCACCCGTCATGAGAGCGCCATCACGAGAGCCGTCAAAAAGCCTGCTAGAAAAGAACTCCTGGCGCGTAGCGTTTTTGGTGAACTGTTCGAACGTGGTAGGATTATGAATTTTAAATTGGCTAAGTAGTGCCTGTGCATTATAAACTTGAAACGACAGGCCAGCAGCAGTAGCATTACATAGTAACTGCAGTTGCTGAAGTGTGCTCAGCTGCGCAGCTGGGGGCGCCTTTCGTCGATACACCATACGACTAAAAAGCCAAAACTCCTATATCCCTTCAAATGTTTAAAATTCACAAAAGAATGTTAAAGCAAGAAAGGCTGCCCTGTTCACTACAACTCAAACAATAGTAGATGACGCATCGACAAAAAA